GCTCCAGACCAGCAAACTACTTTTATAGGTGTGCTCTCACTTACTGATGATCACATGATCAATTCCAAATGATTTTTTAGTCTTAGTTTCTCTTAATGAAAGCAGCATTTTGGTTTAGGTTTTTGTTAAATAATTACATGGTGTAAGGACCATGTTATTTTTACTATGTCCTGAGATGCCAAATCTTAACTGAAAGACTGTGTGCTTTCTATTCAAACAAAATGTGAATGTGATTGAACACATGTTATAAGTCTACATAACAAAAATTGAAAATCTAAAACATTTAATCATTCATGTTTGTGCACTTGACCCTCTCCTCTGTGGTCACTCCAACAAATATTCCACTTGTGATAATACAAAAAGTGATTAAGTGCACACAAACATGCACAAATGATTCATAGACACCGATGGAAGGACATAAATATGAGCATGAACACACAAACACCACTAGATTCAATCCAATCTCCTGAGCTCCTGGCCTTGGTTAGCATATTCTAATGGCCCGAGTACACAAGGAAACACAAGGAACTCAAAGAAAGAGACGAAGCAATGGAGGAATTTGGGGGTTGCAGTGAGATGGGAACAGAGGGCAAGCGAGAGGCACAGGCAGACTGAATTTTAAGGGAGGGGGGGATTCTACTGGAGACACAGAGACAGTGAGAGGGAGGGTGCTTGCTTTAGGAAATGGAAGTCCTTTACAATCTAGTGGTTTCCTCTCCCTTCCTCTATCCTGTGCAGCATACACTCTCCCTCCCTCAGAGATCCCGCTAACAACAAAACTACCAGTGTATTTAACACCGAGCTCCCAACAAAGCATAGGACTCTACAAACATAATACTTTTATTTCAGAGAATAAAGTAAAACTTTTATTTTCTTTGTTTACTTAATTAAACAGTAATTCTAAAAACAGTGCATCTCATTTCATGGCATCAAACAATATATTTACATTGCCCTGAAGACGAAACATCAATTTTTCAGGGATAAAGACCAAGAAAAACATCACAGAAACTGAGATCACATGGTTCCGCATGACAGCAAAAGTATGCAAACCAATCGAACTGTGCGTCTCCTCGGACTGCAGGGGAAGATGGCTTTATTTATGTACCTGTCTCTTTGACTACATTTTTCATGCTTTCTGGCTCTCTGCATAGTCTTCCTGAAAAGAAAAGGCTGTCTGCTAAATCATCAGTTTCAAAGGGTCTCCTTCCTTTTCTGTCAGCCCCAGTTTATTTTTACCCCGTCCCTCCACCTCTCTGTGCCTCCACCCATCCATCCCTCCCTTTCCAAGAGAGCTCTCTGTGCCAATTTGTACTCTCTTAGTCACGCTAAGCACTTATCTTGTCCCTACTGAATGCCTTTGCAATCAAACCAACACTTATCCGGTTGTAAGGCACTCTAATGGCCGACTGATAATGAAACTCCTTCATTGTGAGTTAACAACTGGCTAAAAGATGTATGAAGTCTACATCACAAGCAGCGAAATTGCTGATGAGAGCCACAGCCTGTAATCGCCTATGCTGCTGCAGCTAGTGTATTATGGTAGACTGTGCATTAAATATTGTGCATCAGTTCATAGCTTGTTGTACAGCGATTGCATTCTGAAAAAAGTTTCTCTCATGTTTAGTTTCCCTAGTCATGTCTGCAATATAACTAGGACAGGGTGGCAAGTTTTCAAATGTAATTTTTATTTATTCATTTTTTACAAGGAACAAAGACACCAGCTTCGTGTATGCTCTTACCTCCCATGCTGACTATTACAGGCAACGAGCTGCGTGAACTTTTCTCTGGATTGATTAGTCAACAGTGCCAAACAAAATGTGAGTGAATGTGATTAAAACAAGCTGTCAATTTGTCTTCTTTGGTCTGAAGCCATTAACTGACGTTGCAAAAAATCAGTGACTTAACAGTCAGACTGTTAAGTCACAGTCTGACTTTTATTCTTATTAGAATAAAATTTTATTCACTAAACTTTTTATCTTACTTGAAATTGAACCCAGAAGAGAAATAAAAGTCTGTGCAGTTACAAATTCTGGACTCTAAATATAAAACCCACATAGGGTCCAACCTCAGCCACTTCATTAGGTACACCTTATTAGTAGTGGGAAGGCCAGTTTGCCTTTATAAATGCATCCATTCTTCACTGGGACAGATTCAACAATGTGCTGGAAATATTCTACAGAGATGTGATAGCCCCACACAGTTGCTGCAGATTGGTTGGCTGCACATCCATGATACAAATCTCCCACTCCATCACATCCCAAAGCTGCTCTATTGGATTGAGATCTGGTGACTGTGGAGGCCATTTGAGCACAATGAAGTCATTGCCATCTTCAAGAAACCAGTTTGAGATGATTTGAGCTTTGTGACATATCACATTACCCAGCGGGAAGCATCCATCAGCAGATGGGTATATTGTGGTCATAAAGGAATGGAGCATAGTCAGCAACAATACTCCGGTAGACTGTGGCACTGAAATGACTGTCACTTGGTACTAAGGTGCCCAACGTGTGCCAAGAAGATATCTTCAACTCCATCACACCACCAACAACTAATCTGAACGGTTGATACGAGGCAGAATGGATCCATGCTTTCATGTTGTTTATGCCAAATTCTGACCACATCCCCTAAATGTCAAAGCAGAAATCGAGAGTATTCAGGCAACATCTTTCCAATCTTCTATTTGTTTAAAATGTAACCCGAGTTTCTGTTCTTTCCTGACAGGAGTGGTGCATACCCATATGGAAAAGATATATATAAATCTTATAAAGTTTTTATCTGTCTTGTATGAAACTTGTATGAAAAGCATACAAGAGTGAAAACACATAAAATCCCTTGAAAAATCATATAATGAAACTTGTATGTTTTGTATACTTACTAAAAAATATATATGAAAGTAATGAGAAAGTGGCCACTTTCATGAGTAAATCATGTAAGGCTTATATGATTTATACATGAGTAAATCATATATGTTTTTACTATTTCTTTTCCATATGGGTAGTGTGGTCTTCTTGCACATCTGCTTTAACATTCAATGTGTTGTTTTAGGTTTAGGCTGCCTGTCTATTAGCTCAATATCTGGCTATTTTCTCTCTTTTAGACTGCTTGCTAGAAACCTTAAAGACAACTGAATGGAAATTCCTAGAAAACCTGTCTGAACAACAACACGACACTTAAATCACGTTTCTCCCTTTTCTTCGTAAAGCATCTTTGGGTCCAATTTCAGCAGATTGTTTTGACCACGTCTACATGCATAAATGCATAGAGGTGCTGCCATGTGATTGACCGATTGGATACGAGTTGATTAGCAGATGCACAGGTATATTTAATGAAGTGCCAATGAGTCAAAATTGACACCATGTGGCATTAATCTTAGTCTTTTATTTTATTTATTGCAAAGAAAAGTCAATACATAACTGTTCATTTAATCATTTTTTATCTTCCCATGTGGTTGTTTAAAACCCAAGTCACAAACATATTGTATTAGCCGAAACAGCTTTTCCACAATGTTTTTATAATAGGTGTAAATCTATATTGTGGACTACTTTCTACCATGGATTGATACATAGCCGATGTATTTGAGCACCAGATGTGCACAGGTTGGAAACAGAGTGTCAGCATCCATTAGAGAGATCTCACCCAATATCGTGGCTCACTGACGTGCTCCTAACAGCATTTTTATACAAAAGTACAGCACTGGTAAACACTAATAAGCTTTAGACTTTCAAATAAACTGTGTTTGCCTGGGATTGGTGAACAATGAAACCATATCATCACCCATATCCAGGAAATATAATTGAAAGCAGAAATTACGTTCGTTTTCCATTTAATTTGTAAGCACTCGTGCAGTACGATCAAAAATGATAACTTTTCCATACTATAAAGAAGCATGAACACGAAGACATAATTGGCAGACATCACAATTATGAACTGGAGGCCATACTGAAACAGGTTTTGAAAAACTCATTTCACAAAACACCAATGACAAAAATTAATGAGCCGAGAAAGAATAACTGATAACTATCACTGGACTTATAGAATTTTCTTCCCTTCCTTTGGCTGTGCTGTAAAGCAGTCAGGAAAGGCATTTTAATATGCGCTCAAGACTCCCAAGCCATATTTGATTATGTGATGGTGAAGCAGGTAGCAGCAAGATGAAGTTTAAGATTTACATAACTAGCCAATTAGAAAGATTCAAGATAATGAGCGAAGTAAAAGACTTTCCAGAGGAGCCTTACTGAGATTTGGTTTTCCCATTATTATGTTAAGACAAGCAGGAGTGGAATCAAAATATTTTATCCTAAGTAATCAGCACAGATGAAGACTTAAAATTCACATTAACATTTCTCCTATCAGAACCAATCAGTCTGGGTTTTCCTTCACTCACACCGTCCAACCTGAAACTGTGATTACAGGACCTTTGTGCTGTTGTCCTAAACCGTGTCAGGATACCTTTGAGTACAGCTCTGACAGATGAGCAGCAATCATTCTGAACGCACGCTCTTGTGTGCCTCTTCAAAACAGACGACTACAATCATATTGATTAGTGCTTTGTTCAGACCACTCTAACAATCAAGCAGACCCTCATCAGAGGACACTTGAGTGAGCCCCGTTTACCGCAGAGACGATTTGAAACATATTGTGTCTATTGTCTGGTGTTCCCCATCCTGATTTTGCATACGACAACAATACCAACAGCTTGCTTTCAAAATGCGCTCAACTGAGTATCATTAGAGAGCAATCCTGAAATCATCATCACGGTGAAGTTAAGCAAAATAGAGATTCTCTAGAAGTGCATTATTACGATAGATTAAAGGATAACATGGCCTTTATAGTCAGCGGCCGTGTGTTCTCCAACACATGGACTTACACTGTCGGTGTTTAAGTAAAGGAAATGGTCTCTATAAATAAAAAGACTTAAATATCAAATCAAGACCTGAGGTTGTGAAGTAGAGTGCAGATACTGCATCCTTGCAGAAACAAGTAGAATGAAACTCACTCACCTTTGCACTGATTGGTGTTTTTGTCCAAGATGGCCTTTGTAGAGACAATTTTCCCATATCTGCAAAACAAAAACAACAACAATGTAACATTCTGATTTGCTGCTGGCCCATTTTTAACATCTGGATCAATATTAGTTATTTGAGTCTTGGGTAAATATTTAGCTGTGCTGCAGGCAGAGCTGCAGGGTTATAATTCTGGTCTATCGTTGAGTCACAAGTTTGGTCCAGTCAAAGGAAACAACGCAGTGATGGACTACCACAAAATATGTACACGAAATGGTCACCACAGGATGACTTGCGTCAGAATTATTAACAAGATAGACACACAACCTCCATCCAGCAGATGGAGGAACAAAAAGTCCGTCCCTCCATCTGCTCCCTCTACCAACTTTTAATGTCTCCTGTCCGATTCACCACCTTACTCTCTTATGTTTGACACCTCTGCCTCTCTCTTTGTCTACTTCCTTATTTTCCCCCCACATCCCACTTCTATTCTCGAGCTTTCTGTTCTTGGGTTCTCAGAAAGAAGTTAATAATGTTTCTTATCAGACCAGTCTTTTAGTGCTCAAGGAAAGAGGAGAAAGAAACAGACAAAACCCAGAAAGAGGCTGAGAAGGTATGAAGAGAGAGGATAACAGAGACAGAAAGGAAGGTAGAGTCAGAAAAAGACGAAGACAGAAAGCTTGAATTGTTGAGATCAGCCTGGATCACTGCCTGGCTTTGTGGATGAGACTTTTAATTAATGTTTTCACACTGGTGCACAATGACTGACTGGCTGGCTGAGTGACTATCAAACAGATTGACACTCTGCCCGACAAGCTCGCTGACTGGCTAGCAGACTGGCTGATAGCCCCAGGTAAAGGATGGAAGTATATTCCCTCTTCTGTTTGAGAGATGGGAAGAAAAGAAAAAAAAAAGGGAAACAATGAAGGTAGAAGCAAAAACAACTCAATGAGAAAACAATGCAGAAGCTTCCTACTAGCAAAGGAGGTGAGAAAAGCAGCGGAAGGGTTGGAGAGACTAAGGAATGTGAAATAGACAAGGAGAGGGAGAGCAGTCAGTCAAAAGATAAAAAGATACTCAAGGCGAGCAGGAAGTGAGATAGTCCAGGGGAGATGGAGAGATAGTAAGAGGTGTTTAATAAAGAAGAGATCATTTAGTTGTCAGCATCAGGAGAGTCTCTGTCAGCCAACTCTGTCATTAAGAAGAAGAGAACCGAGTCTAGCTCGCCTGACAGCCTCATATCAAACTCTATTGGGACAGGAAAAAAGGCTTTAAAGGACTGCTATCACACCTAACATGACAGATGAGCAGCGTATGATCTCGCAATTGGCAGAGAGAAAAATCACTGTTTTTGTCAAAAATCAAACATTTGAACAACACTCAGTTTTCACACATTTTCATTCCTGCAATTTAAATCTATATCTGAAGAAAACAAGGCTAATCGCCCACACGTATACGCAACGGCACAGATCAAAAAGAAAAGAAAAAACCTACACCAAAGCAGTAATCACACACACACTACACACACCATCTGGCAATAGCAAGACCAACTCTCAGTGACTTCTACATCAGCATGACTCAAGTGCATGTGACCGAACACTTGAGCATGCAAATACTTGTGTAGGTGTAATTACGTGTGTGACAGAGTATGTTTGTGGAAGTTTGAATCCATGTCAAAGATCTCATACATCATCCACGTGTTTTGCCAACTTGTTTTTCCCAGCAGAAGACTGAAACATATCCAGACTCTGGACAGCGGGGGTGTGGGGGGATGGGGGTGCCTGGGTAGTTACACTATGAATCTTGAAGAGGGAAAAAAATAAAAATAAAAAATAAAAAATGGTCGCACTGGTCTAATTTCAAAAAGAGGAAAACAAAAAACATGTTTCCATGTTTGGGTACATTATTGTCAGACTGTATGTCCACCTGTTCCCTCTGTAGTTACGCAGGTTAGCGAGAGGAGAGGAGAAGAGAGAGGATGACGCCATGGCCTTAGGGAAATGTCCTATTACAACAACAATGCACCATCCAAATCTGTGATTCAATGGCAACATTTCATTTTATCCAGACAGCTACAACAATCTACTATTGTGCAGAAGAAATGGAAAAAAGTATTGATAACAGATCAGATGGTTAAGTGAGGAAATTTTAGATCATGGAATAAGAGGAGAGGAAAGTGCAGAATGTCCTCTTCAAGTCCCAACTGGAACATTTTGGTTGATTCCAACAGAAACCTGGAGTCAAATAACATCGACCTACACTTCAATCAATAGCAATGACACGTAAGAGAGCCATAAAAACTACTGAAATACTTAAAACATACCAATAAAAGACTACAAGGAGCCAGAAAGGAAAGGTCAGCACTTCCTTATCAATTACTTTCCATTGTGCCTAAAAAATAGAGAAATTTGTTCTGAAAAATATCTGGGGATGTAATTTTACTTCTAATTTAAAGTAATTCTCCAGGAAGCAAAAAAATAAATAAATTGGTATAACCTACGGCTACATGTGTAACTTTCATTAGAAGAAATTAGATTTTCTCTATTTCCTAAGCACCAAATGGAGGGTTACACCTATTATTTTCATTGTCAATTATTCTGTTCTTTCTGTATTTTAACTGTATTTTAAAGTAAATTTGTATTGACAGGTTACAGGCTAGAAGTTTGAGTTAAATCCCTGAAAAGTCACGGTGAGCCAAAAGAAAAAACATACCCTTATTAATTCTAAGGTTTCAGACAACCCTCAGATGAACACCACCACAAGGCTTATTACACAGAGTCCTTTAACAAAATACTTTGGAAAGAGAAACAAAATACATTTTCTGTATGACTGTTTCAGTCTCTTCAGTTCATTGAGGTCTGTGGACATTTGTTTATGCACAGCTCTCTTTTTTCAGTCAGGATGAGGTCTGGACTGACTGGGCTATTGCAACATCTTAATTTTTTTCTTTGTTAACTGTTCTGTTGTAGATTTCCTACTTTGCACAGGATCATTGCCCTGTTGCATGAACTAATTTGGGCCAAGCTTTTGCTGTTAGAAAGACGGCTTCAGATTTCACCCTAGAATACTTTGGTATACAGAGGACTCGATAGTTGACTCAGTGACTGCAAGATACCCAGGTCCTGTGGCTGCAGAACAAGTCCAAATCATCACCCCTTCTCCACAGTGTTTGACAGTTGGTATGAGGTTTTTGTGCTGATTTGCCACAGATCTCTATATTGGTCTTGCTTGTCCAAAGGACAGAAGTCTTGTTCCAGAAATCTTGTGGATTCTTCAGATGCGACTTTGTAAATCTAAGCTGTCATTTTCTTTTTAGGGAGAAGAGGCTCTTTCTTGGAAACCCTTTCACACTAGTTCAGGCTTTTTCCTAATTGTATTGTCACAAATTTTAGCATTTTACACACTAACTGAGGCCTGTGGAGTCAGATGTAGCTCTTAGTTGGGCTTTTTGGGGCAAGGGAGTTGCCATTTCTCTGACCCAGAGGTCACCAACACGGTGCCCGCGGGCACCAGGTCGCCCGCAAGGACCACATGAGTCGCCCGCGGGCCTGTTCTAAAAATAGCTCACCATAACAACTTACCAGTTAGCTGCATCTATTTTTATTTTTTCTTGCCATTTTTTTTTAAATCACAATTGCATTGGTGTCAATTTGTTAGAGATAATATATTTAAAAAAAATTATTATTAAATATTAGATGAGCTCTAGCTGGTCTCCATGGAAACAGTTGCCGTGAAGACCAGCAAAGGTGAAGAGATAAGGAAAAAATGGCGGAAAAAAGAAGAAGAAGAAAACATATCATTGTCACAGTGAATGGGAGGAAGAGTTTTTTACCACTGTGAAAGATTCATGGGTGTGTCTCATTTGCGGGGCGACTGTGGCAACGGCAAAGCAGCACAACGTGGAGAGACATTTCCGAACGTGTCACACAAGCTACCATGCTAACTACCCAAAGGGCAGCACACTGCGAGTGGAAAAAGCCCGCGAGCTAAAGACAGGTTTGAGCAAAAAAAACCTCCCAAAAAGCAACCGTAGCCTCATTTAGAGCTACACATTTCATGATTAAGAAAAAGAAGGCATTTTTAGACGGGGAGGTTTTCAAAGAAGCAATGATGATAATTGCAAAAACTATGCTTAAAGACGAGAAATATGGAAACGATATAATCTCCACTCTCTCCGATGTCCAGCTGGGGGCAACTACAATCGTTAGAAGAGTGTCGGCTATGTCCGGGAACTTGGCCGATCAGTTGGATCAGGATCTGGCAAAGTGCAGGTGGTTTAGCATCCAGTGTGACGAGTCCGTGGACAGCAGCAGTGCAGCACAGCTGATGGTCTTTATCCGGATGGTGTTTGATGGTTTCTCCACAAAAGAAGAACTTCTGACACTACTGCCGCTAAAGACAACTACGAAGGGAGTTGACATCTATAACGCGGTGAAGGAGTTTTCGCGAAGAAAAAGGTACCGTTGGAAAAGCAGGTATCAGTGACTACCGACGGGGCTCCTGCTATGATCGGCCGACATACAGGATTCATCGCTCACTGTAAAGGTGACACAGAGTTCCCAAACTTCATGCAATACCACTGCATCATTCACCAGCAGGCGTTATGCACAAAGGTGATCGGCTTCGAGCACGTAATGACTCCCGTCGTGAAGATCATAAACAGCATCCGCTCCAGAGCTAAACAGCACAGAACATTCAAGGTGCTATTGAAGGAGCTGTCAGCTGAATATGGTGACCTGCTACTACATACGGAAATCCGATGACTCAGCAGGGGACGGATTTTGCTTCGTTTTTTGTCACTTTTGGTTGAAATCAAAGAGTTCATGCAATCCAAAGGGGAAGACACATCTCCGCTGGAGGACACTGAGCTAACCTAAAATCTGTTTTCTTTGGCTTCATAGAAATGCTACAAAGCTGAATAACACTGTGCTAAGCCAGAGAAGAATGTCTTTCTGTAGCATCAGTCTGGGTTAGTTTGGTGGGGGGTAGAGCTGACTTTTAGAATGACAGTCTTTCAAGGATGAGCCATGTGTCTTCCTCAACACATGGAAACTCC